AATTATATTATTAAACCAAATATAAATTACTTCGTTATTGTACATAAATTAAATTATAAAAAAATTGAATTAAAAATTTACACAAAAAAATGAGGAATTTCAAATAGTTAATTTGATACTAATATTGATATATTTTTATCAAATTTTTATGATATCGTCAAACATATATTTTATTCAAAAATAAAAACATCATCGCTTTCTCAAAATCATATAAAGCCACATTATAACATCGACTGAGATAAAGAATAAAATGAAATATTAAAAACACGATGTATCTCGCTGCATTGCGCGAGTACGCTTCTAGTTTTAAATATAAAATCTAAAATATAATTAAGATAATTATTGAGTTATAACAGAATACTTAGTTATTATCTTTATAAAAATTATATTATTAAAAAAAATTACTTTGTCATTAAACCAAAATTAACCTATAATAAAAAATTGAATTAAAGAAATTAAACAAAAAATGAGAACATTTATATTTTTTTAATTTTTACAAATTTACATTTTATAAAAAAAAACAGTATTGATTTCTCAAAACCAAATAAATTCGTATTATAAAATTGATAGAGACCAAAAAATAAAATGAAATATTGAAATCAATATATATCTCGATGTATTACGCGAGTACCCTTCTAGTTTGAATAATGCTTGTACCTAATAACCTCCACAATGATATTTTCTTATTTGGTTCTTAATCATTGTATCAGAAATCGGTTTGACATTTATATAAGAACCACTGTGGATAAAAAAACCTTGTTTTCTTATCCACTTTTTGTCTTTTTTACTTTTTAAAAAGTACTATATTTTGTTTTAATAAATTTATAATTAAAATAATATTTTTATATTTGATATGAGACAATATTTTTACACTTGATATTTTATAATGAAAAATAATATAACTGTTCAAGTTGAATTTACGATGTTAGATTTTATGGTCAGGGCTTTAAACGAACCGAACGTTCAACGACCCGTTCGGCAGGAAGTTCGTTTATTTAATAAATGAACGGACATGAACAATTTTTTTTGTTCGTTTAATTAAACGAATGAACATGAACAAGAGTCTCGTTCGTTCATTTATGTTCGTGAACGTTTGTTCATTTACCGTTTGTATATTAAATTTAATATATAATCTTTCGTTTATTTACTTTGAATTCAAATAATGTTTATATATGTTCGTTTAACATGTTAATGAACGAACACAAACACACCTTATTTCTAAACGAACGAACACGAACACAAAGATTTCCGTTTATTTACTGTTTATATTTGTTTGTTTGATAGGTTAAGTTAAATGAACGAACATGAACAAGCCTTTATTTACGGTGATATAAACCAAAAGAAAATAAAAAGGTTGTAAAAAGCAAGTGGTTTTGTAATTCCAAGGAGCTGCTTTTATGTGGTAGCTTTTTGGGCCTACGTAATTGACGCTTCAACTCAAGTGCTAATCATGTATTACAGACGTGGCAACATGTGATTGGTTGGAGTCCTAAGTGGACCCCATGTTTAGAACAAACAACCCTACTACTCCATAGCTGCTACGCTCCTCCAATCGTCACCAGCTTTCCCAAGTTGACCATCTTCTCGGGTTTCTCAACCTCGATTCTATTCTGTTCTATGGCGGAGATCCGTTTTGCTGAATTCACGGTAACCATTTTCATTTCAGATTCTGGCTCCTAATTTCTCAATATCGACCCGACCCGACTGCAATTCGGAATTCTGCAGGTACGTATCTAAGCATATTCTCTTCAGATTTGTTTCTCGTTAATTTCTGCTAAATTGCGTATGATGATGGGGATTTCTTACTTAGATTTTGATGGAATTTTTCTGGATTCGTCTGTTTAAGTTGACATTTAGAATTCTTTCGCCGATTAAGTGTAGGAATATTGAGATTTGAAATTTAAAATTGTGGTGGAATTGGATGCAGTTTGTTGTTGAAAAATTTGCCCTGATTCAAGCTTATTTTGTTTTTGATTTTGTTGTGATTTAGGCTTAGGGTTTTTTATAATTTTGAGATGGTTCTTACATGAATTTTGTGGGTTTGATTGGAGGATTAATTTCTATATGCACAACTATTTGTTTCAAAAAGAGGTCAAATCAAACATTGAAAATGTAAAAAGATAAGTCTTGATATTATTAATCTATATGAGAAGTCGGTAGGTTTAATACCCTTTACTGTAAATGCACGCCTATTTATATCAAAATTAAAGTAAAATATATAAAAAATATAAAAAGTAAGTATTATCTTGATGTAATTAGTACTGTAGGAATATATGCTTATGCTTACCTCATTTCAAGACAAGAATCTAGCTTTTACTTTTGAGTTCGACCATAACATTCTTGATTTCCAAGATCTATTGAATGTTTTCTGTGAAATCTAGTAATGATTTTTGTTAAAGCAGATGAATTCATGTGAATATTAATGTTGAAAACGAGTTCGATGATCTTATGAAAACAAAAGTATTTTTCGATTTGACCATGAAGGTCAAACTGTAGCTTTTTGTGGAACTAAAGGAGTGAAAAATTCGTTTGTAATTGATAAATGCCAGCAAAGTCATCGAACAAGTGGTTAGATGCGTTTTATGTTGTGTTATATGATCATTGATCCAATGTCTTAGGTCGTGGTTCACAACTATAAGTTAGCTTATGAGGTTCTTTCGCTTTTTTTTAATTATGATCATTCTATTATCTTTGTATGTCATTTTACATTGTCATTTAACTTATCAGCTAGTTTTTACTAAACATGACTTGTTTATAAGCTACAACTAGCTTTTCAGAAACAACTAGCAACCAACAGTTGGTTTGTCAGTTTATCAGTAGTTCACCAAAATATTGCTTTACCCCATGTGTCTTGGGTTTTCATATATCTTTTTATTTAGTTCTCCTTTCTTTTACAGGTTTGTCATTGGAAAAAGATAAAAGGAGAGAAAACCGAACAATAATGGATCCCATTTCAACTTATAACAGTAATGTCGGTAATCCAGAGCTAGTCCGCTTCCATGAGTGTACAACTTCTGATTCCAAGGACATGGGAGAAATCGGAATCTCCATGGAAAATTTGACTGAAATAGACCTAAAGTTGGCATACTCATCAGAGAAGTTACTAAATTTGGAAAGTCTTTTACTGTACGTATTATCATGGGAAAACGATTACGAAGCACTGGCTGCTGATGATGTTTCGGAGGAATTTGTAGAGAAATCGCTCACAATCGATCTTTTATTTAGTTTATTGGATTCTGAGGTTAAAGATCTTGACTGTTCAATGGATTCCATTGAAGTTGAGCTTGTGCATACCCATCAAAGACTCTCTTCATGTAAACATCTTGGAGAACTTTTCTCCATTGTTGAAGGGAAATTGCATGATTCTGAGGATTCTCTAAAGAAATCACAAGAACATGTTCTAGAGATGAAAATGAAGTTGGCCAAACTGCAAATGACATCATTAGCCTTCAATCATAATGAATGTAAGTCAGAATCAATCTTTTCAATTCTGATAAAAAGGGAGACAGTTTGACTTTTGTGGTCAAACATATTCCTTCTTAAGATTGTTATATATAAAATCATAAGGGTAAACACCATCTGTTTTTCTTTTGTAGTATTCACCACAAAGCTAATGCTGTATCTTAGTATCTGTTTTTTCTTTAATATTTAGAGAGTTTTTTATTACAATTCAAGTTTAAAGTTTGCTGGTTTGACCTCAGAAGTCTAACTTTATTGTCTCTTTGCTCATTCCCCGCATCTGTAACAAACCAAACCAAACCAAACCAAACCAAACCAAATAAACCCAATATATTCCACCTGAAAGTAGGGTTTGGGGGGTAGGATATACACAAACCTTACCCATGTCTCCCAAGAGACAAAGAGACTGTTTCTGTAAAACCCCGGCTTGCGAAAAGGGTAGGTAAAACAAATAGAAAGCACAACAGATTAGGGGATAAAAGAGGTTTTTCTTTCAAGACATGATTATAAAGAAATGCACAGATCCTGCCTAGTAAAAAGCATACCGATCCTACCTAGCTAAAACACACACAGATCCTAGTACCATTTTATGTGGAAGACATGAAAAAGGCTTATATGTGTGTGTGCATATATATATATATATATATATATATAATGGGAAAATAAAGATAAATTATGGTGGTTTTGGGTGAACTTGATTTGTTTTGTGATGGTTTTTTTTGTTTTCATGGAAATATGAAGGTTTCCCAGAAGATCAAATTTCAGATATCGAAGTGAAACCAAGACTGCAAATGATGGATAAAGTACATGTTCTTAGAATGCTGGAAAAATCTTTGTCAAGAGAGCTTGATCTGGAGAAGAAACTGACAGAATCAAAGCAAGATGAAGAAGATCTGAAGCTAAAATTACGGTTAACAGAACAAGTAGCGTTCATTATGGAAGAGGCAGCAGAGGTGGTCTGGGGTCGGTTTTTGGAGGCAGAAAATGCTGCTGTTGTACTAATGGGAATTTCAAGAGATCTGGTAGCTCAACATCAACTCGTTCAGTTCAACCTCAATGGATTTAATAATAGAGAAGATGTGTTCAGATCAAAACTCGACAACTGCATCAAACTGTTGAACATGAAAGATTCTTCTATAGAAAAACTCAATAGCAGGATCACACAGCTTGTTGCTGATAATCTTGAAGTCTCAACTTTGAGGGAAAAGGTCAAATCTTTAGAAGAAAAGGTCAAGGAATCTGAATCTAATCTGAAGAAGGCAAACGCATCAAACGAATCAATTCAAGAACGGGTTAGAGAAATGGAAAGCATTATAGAGTCGTTAAAAGAGAACGTTTACACAGCAGAAAACAGGGCTGATGTAGCCGAAGGGAAGGTAGCTCAGTTGACAGATTCCAACATTGAATTAAGTGAAGAGTTGGGTTTCCTTAAAGGAAGCCATGAAAATAACTCGAAAAAGATGAGTTTATTGGAGAAACAATCAAGGGAACTAGAGCTTCAACTGCAGCATGCAAAGGTATCCTCTGAATCTGGGCAAGAACAGCAAAACATGCTGTATTCTGCTATATGGGATATGGAGACTTTGATAGATGAATTGAAGCAAAAGGTTTCTACAGCTGAGATCAAGGCTGAAAATGCTGAAGACCAGTGTTTGTTGTTGACTGATACCAACTCGGAGTTAACCAAAGAGATTGAGTTTTTAAGGGCTGAAGTTGACTCACTTGAAACATCTTTGAGTCATGCTAATCTCGACAAAATGGCTAGTGCAAAGGATATTAACATCAAGACGAAGCGTATTATGGATACAGTCGTGCAAATTGCCACAGAACGGGAGCGTATAACAAAGCAGGTATGCCCTGCTCTGTAAAACATTCCAACATTCATACAAAATGAAAACTAAATCAAACAAACTAGGTATATCTCATCTGGATATAGTATCTGATGGGTAAGATGTCAATCCTTTCTTCAAGAGGCAGAGAGACTGTTTCTGAAAGGACATGTGTCCTAACATTCAGAGTACAGTGGCATGGGGGTAAGATACTAAGATATAGGCAGACCTTTCCTCTGCTTCAAGAGGCAAAAGGGTTTTTTCTGAAAAGACCCCTAGCCTAACATTCATAAATTGCTGGTTATAGAAAACTTATATCTTTAGAATCTTAAATTCCACTGATATCAAAGATTGCGACTATCTGAAGATGGGGTTAAGGAGGTAAGATGTGCATAGACCTTTCTTCTGCCTCAAGAGCAGAATGACTGTTTTCGGGAAGATCTCTTGCTCTAACATTCATAGAGTATAGAAATGTATATCTTTAAAATCTTGAATTCCGTTGGATATATTACAATGGCAAAAGATTGTGATTGCCCGGAGGTAGTGTCAGGGGTTAAGATATATGTAGACCCTTCTTTACCGCAAGAGGCAGAAAGATTCTTCCTGGAAAGGCCCCTGGTCCAATATTCATGGAGTGTATAGAAAATGTATATCTTTAGAATCTTGAACTCCATCGGATATATTATAATGACCAAAGATTGTGTTTTGAATTCCAATGTATGGATTTCACAACTTGTAGTCTCTTGCAGTTGCGTTCTCAAACCCAGGAGAAAAGGATTTTGATGGAAACGCTACGAAAAATCGATAAGAACACATACGCAAGTATGTATCCAGATCCAGAAGGAGGCATCGAAGACAAAAACTCGATATCTTCTAGTCAATGTATAAAAGATGCAACGTTAACGGAAAAGTTACAACAAAACTCAACAAAATCCTCATCAGAACGCAAAAAGGCAGGTACACCTTCATAATATCAGCAAATTCAACTTCATCAAGTTCTACATCTAATGGTCATATTGTTGTCTTCGATATCGTGAAGCAGGTTGAAGAAATAAACGTTTTAAACGAAAGATGACCCTCAACCAGAGTCATACATTACTGATTCGGTTAACCATAAGAACCACAATCTTTGTGTCGGTGTTGGCAGCATTCTTTTTTGACCGGCAACCGTAGATTTTGATGTTAATTTGGATTGATTTTACCACGAGAAACATTTGTTTTTGCATGTAGCATTTTTTTGGATAATCATCTAATTTGTGTATATGTTGATCATTGTTTTTCATAGTTGATTTGTGAATATATTGTACATGATTGATTCTTTGTAACGATAACTCGAATATTCAAAATATCATTAATAATATGGTATACGTAGGTTTTTGTGAATCGCAATAAATACGCTATGATAATATCGATAAGCAAATGTATCAAAAGTAAGAGTGCAGATATTAGAGCATCGCCGTCCACACCAATCGCAAGTACATTTGCAAAGTGAGGTTCCATTGTTATGCCACCCTATGCTGTTAAAATCGTGATATATCGAATATCAGACTCTGGAATAATATCGGTCGTGAAATATCGGTTCCGATAATATCGCCGATATTTTTATGGAAAAATCGGTCCGATATACTGATTTTCTATAAGACAAATGTTTGGGGTTTTTTTTAGGGCAAATTGCACGAAAAAGTAACGTACTTTAACTTGATTCCTATTTTGGGTAACGTACTTTAAAACTTTTATTTTAGTACCTAAGATGTAAAGTTTTAAACATTTAAGTACCCGGGTAACTGGTTGAAWTATTAACCGATTATCATGCTGATATGGCGAGTGATGTGGTATCAAACTCGGTATTATTTGCTGACGTGGTCAGTGACGTGGATTTTTTAAAATCTAAAATTAGTCTTTTTTTTTAGTCTAAAATTAGTCTTTCCGGGTTACCCGGGTACTTAAATGTTTACAACTTCACATCTTAGGTACCAAAATGAAAGTTTTGAAAGTACGTTATCCAAAATAGGAATCAAGTTAAAGTACGTTACTTTTTCATGTAATTTGCTCTATCAATAGGTACCAAAATGAAAGTTTTGAAAGTACGTTACCCAAAATAGGAATCAAGTTAAAGTACGTTACTTTTTCATGCAATTTGCCCTTTTTTTTATTACATGTCGGGCTTAGTTTTTTAGGCCTCTTTATTTGGTTAACCAGTCAACACATATATTAAGTCTCAAGTTTATTCTCTTCTTGGTTTTTCACAGTTCACGTTTCTTCTCTTCTCAGTTCTTTCACAGTTCACGCTTATTGTTTGTGATTAACTCGTTTTTGAACATATTTCCTATTTTATTTTGTGAGACTTGTTTATGTGATGTTTTAGTTTTGAAACTATATTTTAAACTCTAATTAATGCATATGATATGTTTATGGATGCATACACACACACACACACACATATATATATATATATATATATATATAAAATATATAATTCTAATAAATCTATACTATATTATAAAGCATTTGGCTAAAACTCTTAAAAACTCTTAAACTCTTAAAACTCTTAAACCCGTTCATTGCTAAACGATTTCATCCCTATCCAATTTCATCCCATAACTGAATTCGTGTAACTAACTGCAGATAAACACAATCCAATACATGATAAACATCTCATTTTAAATATAAAAAATCTAAAATATAATTAGGATAATCATTGAGTTCTAACAAAACACTTAATTATTATCTTTATAAAATGTTA